TTGAATTAAAGTATTTGTCATCTGGTTTTCCGATTGATATAACTGTAAAATCTATTGTTACTTGAATAACTCTCCAGTCTGTACGACGAACTTCAAGTAATCGAAGAGGAATATCAGTATTTTTTTTAAAATAAATTTCTTGACATGGATAAGTTTGTCCACTATCAGTTTGACATCTTACATTTGAATACCAATAATCTTCATCTAAAGAAGAATCATTTGAATGTATCATTTCAGATGTAAAATTCATATAATTTTTTATTTCAAATGAAGTTCCATTATTCCAATGTGATGGAAACCAATTCAATTCACTTCCACCATATTTCCAATATGTCATATACATACATGAATTCATTGGAAATAGTTCATATAATTGTACATAAGATTTTGATTCGGGAGAATCAGGAATTGCATATGGAAAATTTTTCATCACAAAGGCGGTTGCTCTCAATGGAGGATTCAAACGGTATGCTACATAAGCTCGTTGATTTATTTCATCGATTGCCATTATTTGTTGATCAATACCAAAAGAAAATACAATTTGAGGCGGAAAATATGGTGGAGCACAATTTCCCAAACCATTATAAAGAATAAATAATAATAAACAAAACAAGATTTTCATTATTAAAATATCTAAAACTAGAAATAGATTTTCTTCTATTCGATATTGTAATGACAAGCAAAACAAAGTGTTTCATTTATTCATTTGAGTGTTGAACTAATCATATATTTAGTTCTATCTGTATCGAACAATATCATTTAATTATGAACCTTTTCTAATCTGCTGGAGACAGACAAACAATATATCTTGATGAAATAATGAGTTGGCGAAATGAAAGTACACTGTTATATGTTTTCATTCTTATATTTATCTAAGTTTTACTTTTAATATATTATCTAATCACCTGTGTTACACTTCTATCTCTTTTGTTCTTTTCTCTTTTGACGAGAAAAACCGATTTTTTTTACTTTTTTACATATTCAAGCAAAATGACGCAGTGAAAATAAATTATTCACCAATCAAGAAAAGGTATCGAAGAGAATTTAAATAAAAAGTCCACAAGTATACATAGAGAATCTAACATCAATTTAGAAATTTTGAATAATCCACAAACGAATCATGATGATGACGAGTTTCGTCCTTGCTTAAGAGACTCATCAGATGGCATGTCCAAATTCATCATTATCCAAAGATAACAATAAAACTGCAATCTACCCCTATGAAATAGAGGAGACACAGTGTTAAGTATGGCTACTCAGTATAAACAAGCAGCCGTCTGATGAATCCCTTAAACAAGGACGAAATCGGTCACGGCAGCTTATTCTATTAGAGTTGCCACACTTAACATTGTGTCTCCTCTATTTCATGGGGGTAGATTGCAGTTTCATTATTATCTTTGGATAACGATGGATTTGAACATGCCATCTGATGAGTCCCTTAAGCAAGGACGAAACCGATCATGGGTGTGGGGTGTGGGTGTGCGTTGAAGAAGAGTACAACATCTACACTCACACCCACACCCCACACCTACACCCACACCCCACACCCGCACCCACCCACCCACACCCCACACCCGCACCCACCCACCCACACCCCACACTAACACCCCACACTAACACCCCACACTCACCCACACCCACACTCACACCCTTAAATCGATATATCTATTATATTTAGAAAGAAAAACTTGTTTTCTGAAAAGATTCCCAAGAGTGTAAAGAAAAATTTTTGTCAAGGCAATAAATTAATTAACATACTAAACTGCATCACTAAATTTTATTAATGTATTCTCTATAATATATGTGTGACGAATTAATCGGTCACCAAAATTGACACATTCCATA